CTCGGGACATCATTCACTACACTCTACACTCACTAGACATCATACTTTTTAGTATTCCTCAATCAATTCATTATGATCAATATAAAAAAAATTTATAATAATAATTATAAAAGGAAGCCTGTTGTCCCATTCATTTTTTTGTAAAAATTGTATAGGGTCGCTAACAACCCAAGGTGTGTAACAACTAGGGGTGGAACGGTACACAGAAGTCACGGTTCGGTTCATACCTCGGTTCACACATCACGGTTCGGTACGATTTCGGTACAATGGAGGGAAAAGCAAAACAAAAATGCAGAAGGCAATGTATTTTTTAAATAAGTTTTATTAATAAAGGCATAGAACCAGTTTATTTGTAGTGGACTGACAATAGTTTTATATAATTAGTTTATTAATTAAATTAATAAAAAGACAAAAAGACCTTGCGATATGTTTGGTAATTGTACCTGAATTAATTTAAAATTAATTTTCTATATTTCAGATCAATATATTTGTTTTCCTTAATTTTAATTAACATTATTAATTAACAATGTAACATTATTCTCATCTGAATTATACATAATTGATTTCTGTATAAAATAATACTACCATTAATGACGCATTCAATTTTCTTTTTTAATCAATGTAGAATGTGTAAGATTAGTGCTCCGAGGACGAGAAATGAAAACCAATGCGATGAATGTCCAAAAGATGGGACCCACAGACTGTTTTGAAATGGAGTTGGATAAATATGTTTTGCTTTTAAAACAGTGTGTGTGTGTGTGAGTGTGAGTGTGAGTGTGTGAGTGTGAGTGTGAGTGTGAGTGTGAGTGTGAGTGTGAGTGTGAGTGTGAGTGTGAGTGTGAGTGTGAGTGTGAGTGTGAGTGTGAGTGTGAGTGTGAGTGTGAGTGTGAGTGTGAGTGTGAGTGTGAGTGTGAGTGTGAGTGTGAGTGTGAGTGTGAGTGTGAGAGTGAGAGAGTGAGTGTGAGTGAGTGAGTGAGTGAGTGAGTGAGAGAGAGAGAGAGAGAGAGAGAGAGAGAGAGAGAGAGAGAGAGAGAGAGAGAGAGAGAGAGAGAGAGAGAGAGAGAGAGAGAGAGAGAGAGAGATTTTGGTTGGGTGACAGTTGTAGGTTACAGTTTGACAAGAGTTTACATTGTGACAAAAGCACAATGTTGTGTTTTATTGCGAGTGTACACAAATATAAGTAAACACTTTGCAGGTTTAATGATCTGTATGAACAAAATGACCGAGTATGTTTTTTATGTTTTTCACTGTTCGATTGCGGCCGTGCCTCTCTCTCTCTCTCTCACACACACACACACACACACACACAAACACACACACTCCAGCATTGCAATCTTGACATCGCAGCCTGTTCATTATGTGGTCACACCAAACGCGAATAGAGCGTTAAATTCGCGTCTATCGCGTCTAGTTCGACGCTAGTCCAAAGCGAATAGGACGCGCGTATAAAGCCAACGTTTGAAGTGAACGCGCGTTCAGAGCTAAGCCGATGTTACAGATTATGTGTCCCTAAAGAACCCGCGTATCTAACAGTAGTTCCGCATTACATTAATTAATTTCCACGCGAGTTTTATTTATTTTTATACCGTGTATTCTCCGTGTAAATTCGTGCACCGAACCGTGACGCCCGTACCGTTTCGGTTCGGTACGAATACATGTACCGTTCCACCCCTAGTAACAACAGTGCAAGTATGTTTTTCTGCACAACAATAATTTAATCTTTGTTGACTGAATAAGTGCAACTCGGCTTAATTCCACAAGGTGGCAATGTCTGATACACAGTGATGAATTGACGTTTCACTCATAGTTACCGCAGGCAGAAAACAAAACAATAAGTATCATCATCAGCAAAACTTGAAGCGATTTACTGCAGAGCAAGTACTGAACATAATCAAATATTCGTGTCACTGTCACTTGATGGTGGATCTGGTGAAGAAGCTGTCAGTGATCAAAGTATTTATTTTGAAGATGTTGAAAATGATAGTTTTAAGAATATGTTTGAGATCGCGAATATGAGCCAGATGCTGAATGTACTGGGAAAACGATTTGCGACAGCTAGAGATGCATCCGTGTAACATATAGATCCAGGTCGCTAAAGACCGTCCTTAATATGTTATAATGATTGGCAAAACATTTATGCATTTAAAATGAATGAGAACTGCATGGGGCTGTCAAAAAAAAATGGTAACACTTTACAATAAGATCCCATTTGATAACATTAGTTAGCTACATTAGTTACCAATGAACTAACAATTCTAAAGCATTTATTTATCTTAATGTTAATTTTATAACAAAGTCTAAATCTACAGATGACATTGTTTGCGAGAAGTAACATTAACACTGAGGCTGGTGTGTGTGTCCTTGATCGCCTTGGGCTAGAGACTCAGACCACCATGAGAAACTGCAGTGTGGCGCTTCATTTTAATGAACTCTGCAAAAGAGTGCGATTGCCCTGACACTTCAGTCCAACCCACTCAGCTTCAGACGCCACTCCCTCTGACTTCTCCAACGCTATGTGTGAAGGTTAAAGCACCGTCTTACACTAAAGCTTTGCCTTTTCTCTGTGATATTTTGGGGAATCATCCTGATGTCTGTTTCGTTCTGTTTTAAGTATCAGCTGTGCGTGAATAAAGAAGAAGAGAAACAGGTGTTAGTAGAAACAATGAATCAAGAAACCCTTGTTGCGATGTTAGTTTTATAAGAAAACCTACTATATCAGGTTTGATGTGTCCAAAACCTATCCCATATAACAAGATGCTGACACATTTCCATCACACAAGTCACATCCCAGAGTTCAATTCAGATGAACGCGTTCAGTATAATCAAACGGAGGCGCTTTGCTGCAGCACAAGTGTATGAGTGGCCATAAATTGCGCTCGTGTTCCTGTGCGGAGCCAAATTTATAACTGTCCCATTGATTCCCCAGAGGAGAAGCAGCCACCTTCTCATTGAGAAGCCACTGCAGTGGAGCCCGAGCTCACAGCTGGCCACACATTCAAACCGCTCAGAGACTGCATCTCCTTCACTGAAATACAAAAGCTTTCACTGAGCAAAGACGGACTGTATGTCAACCAAGCAGAGCAAGCCATCTGCATACCAACTAAAGAAGAGCCACGTCATGCAGCAAGATCAGGCACCTTGCGCTCAGTTGATTCCAAGCTAGTAATCGTCATGAAATAATTATTTTTGTAAATATTTGGGTTACACGTCAACATATCAAGTAGTGAGACAGGGATTGTGTGTTTAATTAAATTAAATACAAATAAACAATTAAAACTAATTTCTTGCAACATACAAGTACTATTCATCACTCAACTGGTCTAACAAGCTCCTATATAAAGTCTCCTTCTGAGACCAGCAGAACCAGTTCAATAATACATTTATTAGAGAATTAGGCAGTTCTTAAATGGACAGTTCACCCCTAAATAAAAATTATTTCATTAATTACTCACCCTCATGTCGTTCCAAACCCATGAGACTTTCGTTCATCTTCGGAACACAAATTAAGATATTTTTGATGAAATCTGAGAGCTTTCTGTCTATTCGTTGACAGCTACGCAACTACCACTTTGACGATTCAAAAAGTTAAACTAATCCTATTAATTGAGCGGTTTAGTCCAAATTTTCTGAAGAGACTCGATCACTTTATATGATGAACAGATTGAATTTAGCCTTTATATGTGAATAGAGAAGAACTAGAGAGGCGAGTCATGATCAACAAAATATATTCAAACGGTCACTTCTATTGGAGTGCATTTCATGCATAGCTGATATATATATATAGTGTCACATGATCCTTCAGAAATCATTCTAATATGCTGGTTTTGAGCTCAATTATTATTGGTGCTCAATTGTTATCAAGTTGATCTGTCAACACAGTTGTGCTGCTTAATATTTTTGTGTAAACAAACTACGATGCATTTTTTAACGATTCTTTAAATAGAAAGCTAAAACAAATGTCTTTTCTGTCAATTTTGATCAATGTAATGCATTTGTGCTGAATAAAAATATTACTTCCTTTAAAAAAAATAACTTACCAACTCTAAACTGTTGAATACACTGAGAAGTGCATCACAGCACAAACAAAATTTTCAAAAATGATACTAAAAAGAAATGTTCAAAAGCAAAGTTCAAAGCAAATCGGCATGTTAGAATGATTTCTGAAGGATCATGTGACTCTGAAGACTGGAGAAATTATGCTGAATATTCAGCTTTACCATCACAGGAATAAATTACAGTTTACAATAAATTAAAACAGAAACAGTTATTTTAAATTGTAATATTTCTCAATATTACTGTTTTTTATGCAGTCTTGGTGAAGAACTTCGGAGAAACTTCTTTAAAAAACATTAAAAATCTATATAGCCTATTACTGCAGAAATGTGTTAGCACAGGCTGTGAAACAATCTATAGTCTGCTTAGTGGTGCAATGATTTTAAACTCATTTAACACAATCTTCTTTATGGATTAAGGCAGTGGTCCTCAATCCTGAAAGACACCCAGCACTGAAACTTATGATATGAATCAGCTATATAAATTCAATAAGGGAGATTTCCAAAATGTGGAGGTCAGGATTGAGTACCACTGCCACGCAGAGATTTGACCCCTACTGAACAGATATCATAGACAGTTCTCTGGAGCAGTGACTAACATTGAATGAACACTGATCAATTGCTGGTTTAATACTGATCTTCTGGATGGTTTAGGGCAGTATCATAGACAGTTATCTGGTGCAGTGACTAACACTCTCTACTGCATTTCATGGCCTGGCTGGGCTTACACACTCTGTGACTTAATATCACACATCTGACTTTCAATAACATACCTCTGAGCATCCATCCAGCCGATTTACCAGGTCTAATAAAGTGATAGCGATCTCGAAGTCGTTTAAAGGCGATGTAAACACTCATTTGACAGGTAGACTGACACTCCCAGCCAGCCTCGGACGGGAGATGAGCGCGTGAGTTAACGTTAGCTCGTTAGCATAATAAACATCTTACCGTTCAGCGGAACATCCAGATCACACACAACTGTAACAGGGTTTGTTCCTCTGTGTCCCACCACAAAACTCAAGTCAATATAACACTCCGCAGCCTGATTGAGAGGGTTTGGGGGCTGGAATAGGGCAGTCGGACCAGTTGTGTGTGTCCTCTCCAGTCTTCCGGAGCTCGATGGGGGAAGTTCCTGCCACTAGCAGTCCGATTCCTCCAGCACGAGCTCAAATCACAGAGTGGCGCAGAAACAATAGATTATTAATCACACATAGTCATAATGTGTGACGCGGTGTTTGCTCAGACAGTCAGATCTCAGACGCATCTCATCTGTCTGGAGCTGCACTGGGTGAAAATGGCGTTGTTTCTCCCGGCAGGTTTACTCCTCCTCATTATGATGTCATCCGAAGATAAAAGGAATTTGGGATTATCGAAAATGTTGATATCAGCTGTTAATATAACTTTTTATTTAGTTTGTTTCATTAGTAGTCCTATTTGTCTTGTACTATTATGTTTCCGTATATATTATAACAAAGGTCGTCTAGTTTATTTAAGCAATATTAGTAATAAGAATCGTCAGATAAACCATTCATTATTAGCTATGTGGCTATGATAGACATTTAGTTGCCTGGTGTGAAATTTAGTCGCAAATATGAGTGATTTATTCGCAATGTATAGTGAGTTGAGAGAGAGTGATATCCCTCAGTTTAATTAACAAGACGTTAATATTGAATATCTTGCGAGCTAGAGAAAGTGTCCGGTACTCCCTGCCAATAAAAAATAAATTAAAAAATAGTCAGAATAAGCCAATTTATCAAGTTTTGCGCGTAAATAAGCAAATTACAGAAAGAAAACTGGTCTGGAATGCCACATAATGTGGAGCGGAGTGAGATTAATTTCTCCGCCTGCTCAAAGCATTTGGCATCACTCTGCTTCTGCTTACACTCCTGGTTTTACAATTCCATACACCAGAACCACCTCTGCATCTCTCCTCTCAACGTATAACTATTGATGTAATAATATTTAGGTTTTGAACTTGGCGAGAAGACTCAGATTATAAAAACCCACACAACAGTTCCAGGTTTTGGTGCAATGTTTGGTCTAAACTTTTACTGCTTTCACTTCCACATAGAGACAACACCATAGAGAGCAGTGATTCATTTACAGTCTTTATTTGTATTTCATGTAGTTTTTCCTTTCTCTCGTCCAGTCAGTGTCCTCCATGTGTTGTGTAGAGCTACTCTTGCCATCAGAAGTGTAATGGTGAAGTTCCGTCTGTACCATTCCCTGAAACACAAAAGGTTTGGAATTAATCCTGTTGTAATAGAATAATTTTTTTTTAATGGAACAGTTTTAGATAAAACACCAAAAAGGCTCTTTTTAGTTGTTGTTGACTATCATATTTGATACATCAGGCTTTTATGGCTCATATAGTATAATATAGGAGAATATGGAGCTCACACTTGAGGAGAAAGAAAACACCTCCGTTTTATTCAGAGGCCCAAATAATTAGCAATTTGGTGAAGTTGCTGATATTTATATGGCCAAAAAGTAAGATGAAATTCTGATAGCTTGTAATGTAAATCAATGACTACGTTTACATGCAGCCAATAACCCGTTCAAAACCGGGATATTAGCAATAACCCGGTCGCACACGGCCATGTAAACACCTGCAAAAACGTCTCCGGTTACTATCGTAACCTCGGTTCCCTGAGAGGCGGGAACGAGACATTACGTCATACTGACGTATATGGGAACTCCTCCCTTCTCCATTTTCACTGAAATCTTATAGGTTAACGCCAGCTGGAGACAGCTGGCCAATTGACGCAAAACATGCAAATGCTGACCGGTCCGCGGGCAGTATAAATAGCATGGGCGCGACAATTACGTCAGAATCAAGACTGAACGCTAGCACAGCTGATCAAACGGCGAGCACGGCGGTTGACGTAATGTCTCGTTCCCGCCTCTCAGGGAACCGAGGTTACGATAGTAACCGGAGACGTTCCCTTTCAAGGCGGTCACTTCGACATTACGTCATACTGACGTATATGGGAACTGTATAGAATCCCGCCGTGAGCGCAGTGAAGATAAGCCCTGAACGGGGTCAAACTACACTCCCACAGGAACAACAGTTCTAAGCCAGCAGCGCCGCTAGGAGCACTCAAAACTGATAGGCGAAACGAGACCAACGTCTGCTCCGGCTTACCAAGTTGTGCATCCACTGCAATGAGGCGAAGGCTGCACTGGACAGGGCAACACAACACCATAAGCACTCGAGCACAAGAGCTAACACAGTGTCGACGGCATAGCGGTGACAGCTGCATAACCTTAAGCCACACACAGAGTTAACAGTACGTTGGAACTACTGCGTAATGTGGAAACAGCTATGTAACCTTATAGTCATAACACAGAGTTAGCAGCAATGGTAACTCTGCAATACAGACTACTGCACAGCTGGTGGTAACAGTTTCATGAGCACATTGATAAAACTCACCGAACCCACGACGCTAAGGTGGTGCATCAAACTTGGAACCCTGGCGAATGTGTTCTGAGAAGACAGCCAGCATACCTAAATTTAAAGCGTCGAATTCAGAGAGAAAGTCCCTGTATAAAACAGCACGTCCCTAGTACCATCCACCAAGCACACAAACAGCTGGTAGACTGCTGCCTAGTGATCCACGTACATCCACAAATCCCTTACAGGGCCAACATCACTCTGAGCATCGGCATCATGCGAGGCTGAAACTCAGCAGATAAGGCGGGCAGGGATCAACCTGTGCTCTGAACGGTGTAAGCGACTTCGGAACGTAGCTTGGTATCGGACTGAGAGTGATGCTGCAGTCATCAGGTCCGAGACAATGCGACAACATTCACTAGAATGAGCGTAAGTCTCCAAGCGCTTCGCTGGGGCGAGAGCCGGTGGTAAGGCCATCTTAGGGAGAGCTCCGTCTCAGCACTTGTCAGTGTGAAGTGTCTTGCTCAACTAAGGACCCAGCAGCGGACACACAAGAAGGTTCCACAGCTTGGGGCTGGGGTGCCACCTTGTAGAACATAGCCGATGTTCTATAGCCAATGTACAGAAGTGCAAATCAACACATAACTGAATGTACATAAACACAGTGCCAGTGGCCGTAGCGACGACAACTGTGAATATACGCAGTTAGAAAATAGCCCCATAATAGCATAGCACCTCAGTAAGCACACAAACACAGTCATAACTGTAGCTACAACTGTGAATATATGAGTTAGCACAGAATAACCAGTTGCCCTGATAGGAACGGGGCAATATAACAGCGTAGCACATGCACGTACAGCATAGGTCGCTGTAGCGCCAACTTAATACACGGAGTGAGCTCCGTATTAGGCTGAAGGATACGGGGCAACACCGCTGCATGAACACATCCATTTGTAAATAAATGCAGCGCATGTCGCCTTATCGACGGAGACTGTGAATATGCACAGTTTGACTGGGATAGCTAGTTGCACTGAAAATACAGGGCAACATGGCAGCATAACACAAGTGAGTAAGGAATAGCGCATCCTTGCATGTACATAACGCAGCGTAAGTCGCTGTAGCAACAGAAACTGTGTAGAGACAGAAACTAAGATGCATAGTTAGATTAGGATGGCTAGCAGCACTGAAGGAAACAGGGCAGCATTACAGCATAACACATCCGTTTACGTACATACATCCAGAACTGTGAATATGCACGGTTAGATTAGGATAGCTAGTTTTGCACTGAAGGAAACTGAATATGCAGTTAGATAGGATAGCTGGATGTTGGACTGAAGGACAGGGCAACATAACAGCATTACCCATCAGTGTGCACATTTCAAACATCTGAGTGTATAATGCAGTGCAAGTCGACGAAGCGACCAAGACTGCATGAATATGCACAGTTCACATAATGGTCAGTTACGTTAGCCACATAACTGCATAACGCTTCAGTGTGGACACAGATGCAGCGCAAGTCGCCGTAGCGACAAACTGTGACTATGCACAGTTAGATAGGATAGCTAGGTGCACTGAAGGATACAGGGCAACGCGATAGCATAGTCACATTAGTGTGTACAAAAACACAGCGTCAGAGGCATCGCGACATCGACTGTGAATACATAGTAAGTCAGAATAGCCGGTTGCACTGATGATACAGGGCAATATTTAGCGGCGTAAACATAGCACATCAGTGCGTAGCGTGTACACAGCGTCAGTTGCACCGCACAATAGGGCTGCACGATGTATCATTTTAACATCGATATCGCGATGTGCGCATCCACGATAGTCACATCGCAGATATGTACGATGTCAAGTATGGATCGTAGTTGATGGTGATTCATGATCAGTAGGCAACGTGCCAGCAGCTCTCCGGCCCGTAACGCTTGTGATTCGTGGATTAATTGCAAAGTTCAACCATCATAGTGTGAGAGTTTATCAATTTGCAAGGCCTGTCAGTTTAAACATAAAGCGCAAGAAGACTGGAACTTGCGCGCTGTTTTCTGTCAGCCTCTAAAGCGTATTTTTGTCCCGCCAAAGTTTGACCGGTGACTGATGTAAAGACTGACTGCTGCGCTTGTTTAACTGAGAGAGCGAGCAGAGAGAGTGAAAGCCCCGGTCGCGCGCGCGCACTCTCACCGTCTTCAAACTGTCTTTCTCGCTCTCCCTCCCTCGCGCATATTAATGAATTGAGTTGAGTTGACTCAGTGATGGATTTCATCCAGTGATGAAATGTTTTCTGTGTTGACAAATCTTGTGCGATGTGGTCCGTTAATGAAACGTCCGATTCGCGAACTAATGACTCATTTGAACCGATTCACTTTAATGAATGGTTAAAACAACTGATCTGTCCAACACTGAACTCAAGAGACATAAATCAGAAACACTTTACAATAAGGTTCCATTTATTAAAGTCTAGTTAACTACATTAGTTAACATACTATTAATATTAGTTTCTATGCAGATTTACTCCATGACAAAACCACCCAAGTCATTCTAGAATTATTCATTCTTTCCAAATAGAGCTATTTAAGTAATCTGGTGAAATTGTTTTTATATCGCAATATATATCGCAGAAAAATAAAATATCGCAATGTGATTTTTTACCAATATCGTGCAGCCCTACCGCACAACAACTGTGTACGTAATCAGAATAGCCATTTGCACTGAAGGACACAGGGCAATATATAATAGCATAAATCATTACACATAACAGTGAGTTGTATGTACGTAACACAGTGTCAGTTGCATCACGCCACACTGTGAATACGTAGTAATCAGAATAGTTATTTGCACTGAAGGATACAGGGCAATATACAACGGCAAAATTCATAACACATAGTGTGTAGTGTGTACATAAACACAGCGTCAGTTGCATCGCACAACAACTGTGAATACGTACTGCATAGTAATCAGAATAGCCATTTGCACTGAAAATTACAGGGCAATATATAATGGCATAAATCCCAACACATAACGCTGTGTAGTGTGAACGTAACACAGTGTCAGTTGCATCGCACAACAACTGTGAATACGTAGTAATCAGAATAGCCATTTGCACTGAAGGATACAGGGCAACAACGGCAAAATTCATAACGCAGTGGACAGTGTGTACGTAACACAGCGTCAGTTGCATCGCACGACTGTGAATACGTAGTAATCGGAATAGCCATTTGCACTGAAAGATAAGGAACAGGGCAATATATAATGGCATAAATCATACACATAACAGTGCGTAGTGTGTACGTAACACAGCGTCCGTTGCATCGCAACAACTGTGAATACGTAGTAATCAGAATAGCCAGTTGCACTGAAGGGTACAGGGCAATATCGTGGCATAAGCATAACACACACATATCAGTGTACATAAACACAGCGTCAGTGGCATCGCACAACTGTGAATCAGAATAGCCAGTTGCACTGAAGGATACAGGGCAATTTATAGCGGCATGAATCATGAACACATATCAGTGTGTAGAGTGCACGTAAACACAGCGTCATTTCATCGCACAACAACTGTGAATACGTGGTAATCAGAATAGCCATTGCACTGAAGAAACAGGGCAGCATATAACGGCGCAAATCTTAGCACATATCAGTGTGCAGTGTGAACATAAACACAGCGTCAGTGGCGTAGCGACAACAACTGTGAATACGTGGTTAAATCAGAATGGCCAGTTGCACTGAGGGATACAGGGCAACATGTAAGGGCATAACAGTTAAATCATAGCACATATCAGTGTGCAGTGTGTACATAAACACAGCGTCAGTGGCGTAGCGACAACAACTGTGAATACGTGGTTAAATCAGAATGGCCAGTTGCACTGAGGGATACAGGGCAACATATAAGGGCATAACAGTTCAATCATAGCACATATCAGTGTGCAGTGTGTACATAAACACAGCGTCAGTGGCGTAGCGACAACAACTGTGAATACGTGGTTAATAGAATGGCCAGTTGCACTGAGGGATACAGGGCAATATATAAGGATATAACAGTTAAACCATAGCACATATCAGTGTGCAGTGTGTACATAAACACAGCGTCAGTGGCATAGCGACAACAACTGTGAATACGTGGTAATCAGAGTAGCCATTCGCACTGAAAGAAACAGGGCAATATATAACGGCACAAATCATAGCACATATCAGTGTGCAGTGTGAACATAAACACAGCGTCAGTGGCGTAGCGACAACAACTGTGGATACGTGGTTAAATCAGAATGGCCAGTTGCACTGAAGGATACAGGGCAGCCTGACGACATAAGCTGTAAGCTGTGCACCTCCATCACCAGAGCGGGGCGTCCTGGCGCAGCGCTCTCCGTGGCCTGTGTCGCCACATTCCCGGTCCCGCCCTCTGCCAACGGTGAAGATCCGGTTTGTTCGGGTTCGAACCGTTTTGGCGGCTGTAGCCGAATTAGGCGGGACGAGGTGCCGACGAAGAGAGACATCGAGGAAGGCTGGACCGTATAGAGATCAAAAGTTTCGGTTTAAAGTCTGGCCGCGGCGAGACTAAATTTTATCTGCTGTGAGAGCTAGGATCGAACACGGGTCTCCCGTGCGACGGCTTTGGGTTTCGCCACTGAGCCACAGGGGGAAACAACCACTTTCGCGCCTTTAGACACAGAGCCATGGCCTTGCCTCGTCTCTCATGCATCTTCGCATGACTTACCATAGGACGTCGTGAAGACGGAATCTTTCTTGAAGTAGCCTGGCTGTTAGATACCGGGCTAAGTGAAATAATAAAAGTATCCTTTCCGACGAAGCCTATCGCGTCGAGTCCTTCTAGCGAGCCCGCGAAAAGGACCGGAGAGGCGACGGGCAGGTTAAAATGTGGCAGTGGGCCTCATCCCTGCTGATGCCCGGGTTTATGAGGGCGCGCACTGGTAGACCAGCACAGTGGTTTTCAAACCTGTCCTGGAGGACCCCCAACACTGCACCTTTTCTTTGTCTCCCTAATCAAACACACCTGATTCAACTCATCAGCTCATTATCACATGGGTTAATGAGCTGATGAGTTTAATCAGTTGTGTTTGATTCGGGAGACAAAGAAAACGTGCAGTGTTGGGGGTCCTCCAGGACAGGTTTGAAAACCACTGGACCAGCACATGCCTGTCGTCCGTGAGTGCGGCCTCAGTAGATCCTTGTTTGGGTAGAGCGAGTCAATACCGCACATATCTGGCATGTAGCAGCCATCGGATGCGGGGAGGAAACATGGTGCGTAACCTCTATTGCAACTTCCACGATGACTTCAGATAAGACTTCTAGCGTGAAGAAAGAGATTCTGACGTAATTGTCGCGCCCATGCTATTTATACTGCCCGCGGACCGGTCAGCATTTGCATGTTTTGCGTCAATTGGCCAGCTGTCTCCACCTATAAGATTTCAGTGAAAATGGAGAAGGGAGGAGTTTCCATATACGTCAGTATGACGTAATGTCGAAGTGACCGCCTTGAAAGGGAACCCGAATATGCTTATATCCCGGATTTTAAAAACCGGGATATGATACCTGGGGTACCCCTTTTCTAACCCGAATTTTTGGTCAAGTAAACGCGCATCGGCATATCCCCATAGTGATTTGTGTTCTGCGCATGTTCTATTCGCAAGGAATCTTGGTCTTTTGAGTGGAGGAACTTCTCAGCGCATACAAAAACGTATGCGCTGGGATTTCCCCCTTTCTGGTCAAAGTATCCCTGCCTCTGCTTAATTATTTTTATCCCCGGTGGGGATAAATTTATCCCCCCCCTCAAAGTGATCAGTGCTACTACAATAGTGGCGAGACGGATCACAAAACTTATCACGGGTCCGTGGTTTGAATAAAGTCAATTTTATTTTAAAATGCGCTCCTTCGGCTGGCTCTGGTATAGCGGCCGCAGCCTCTCTGTAATCACCTCTCTGCAGACTTGCTCAATGTCCCGCCCACGGCGCTATCTGATTGGTTACTCCTCACGAGTAATAGCCTATCAACACTTGCGAGACTGAGGCGTTTAGCGCGGCGCGGTAGACGCGAATTGACAGATCTGTCATCTGTCTTTTCTATCATTTCACTGTAGCTCAGCATCACGATGTAACATTAACGTTGTTACTTTAACAGCAGTACAACTGTTTCTACTGTGATGGTTTAACTTTGCAATCAATCCATGGTTCAACAGACTAATAGAAGTAGCCTAGCCTAAACTAAGTAAAGCGATGTAATGTGAACTGTCAAGTGCGATAGAACAATAAAATCCGAAATAGACCACCCACTGGAAAGCTGCGGATTTTCCCACAGGAAAGCAGAAAAAGACTGTTTTCCTAGTATGATGCAAAGGCCTACACTATAGCCTATTTGTTTAAGTTGACACTATGTTGTGCCATTTAAAGCTGCAGTCCGTAGCTTTTCCTCTTTGTCGCCATCTCTCTGTTCGAAATCTGTAACTGCAGTGATTCGCGGAATTATCATCTTTACGTGGGTTGTAAATCGGCATTAAACAGCGCGGATGAACACAGTGCTTTGAGGCGAGTGCTGCTGTCAGTCACCGCGCTGTGTGGATACTGTCATACAGAATTACAGATTCACTTTTTGAAAGTTTGACCAACATAAGAATTTTCATAAGAAAATGTCTTCTGAACAAGTAAGTAAAATCCATTTTTGTTCTGACCAACTAAGGGGGAAAAAGCATTCGACATGATAAGCTTCGTTAGATTTAATCAACGCGATTTACAGCAACCGTGCAAATTATAGCCTACTTTGTTCTCAAATTGTTCATGTTAACAACATCAGCATTGCGTGACTAATGTTAAATTTAATGTGTTTTATGGTTACCTGTGTAGTTCAGAATTCATATTCTCCATAATAGCAAAACGAGAAAGGCACAACAAAGGAAACTCCATAACTGTGTGAATTAAGAAAACGTACTGTTACACGATTGAACTATTGAAATGTCTTACTTGTTCAGCAGAAAAAAGCCGTCTCTTCTTCCGTTTTGAACCCCTTCAAAACACGGAGTTCACGCACTTTTCAAAAGCCCCGCCAATGTTTAAATCCTTGTGTTCGCATGAGACGGTTTCTTTCTCTTTCTCTAGCCACCTTAAATCCGAAGTACGAAGTCTTTTGGGTTTTATAACTGCTGAATCTCCAGTTGACACTGATGATTGTTGTTTGGATCTTTCTGGATGCCATAAGTTTAATTATGTAAAGTGCTGCGAGAAAAGCCTATACATCTAAACATCTCGTCACGAGCAGTATAGCCGGCTAGCCGAAACTCCTTCTTTATGTGTACGGGTGTGACGTAATGACGCAAAGACATGCTCGAATTTCCCGCGGAAACCCACCAGTACCACTGGAATTAAAATCATTATTACAAGCTAACCGTTTTGAATCTAGCTATGGCAAGCAGATAGTTTTGACCACTGGCAGAATATGTTTTTTTTAATATAATTATTTTGGATTATTTTTAACTTAAAAAAGTTACGGACAGCAGCTTTAATTTTGCCATTCATAAATAAGTGTTTTGACATGTCAAGCCGAGTGGCACTATCCATGGTGGCTACTGGGAGGGGGATTTAATTCTTGCGTGTTTTTTCGTTGTGCGTGATCACAGTTCATATAAGCTATTAGAGTAAAAATATTGCGTTAGACTAGCTACTTCATGAGATAATAAGAAAAAAGATTTTACAATTCCTGCAAATGCAGTGAAGTTCATGTTCTCATGATTTATTTTTATGACTAAAACTTTTTCAAAACATCCCCCCCTCTGTTTTTTTCACAAATCGCACCCTGTTTATAACAGTATGGCAGACAGCTTACATAAAATGCATATAAATATCATTTGTCACTATTTCTCCCAATAATGTGTTAGAAAAGTCGATATTTAACTGCAATGCAATAATGCTGAAGGGGGACATTTTAAGAAAATATAAGCCTTTTCCTTGCTTAAAAAGTATAAACTATAAATCAGACGAGAGAATGCATGTAGAGGATTGTGTAGAGCCGTTTTTAAAATTATTAAAGTATTTGAATCTCACCTGTTATAACTGGAATGCCTTGTAATGTTTTTGTCCAAGAAGTGTTTGTAGAATACTGCCATTTCCTCACTGCTTAAAGTCCTTTTCCTTCCTGGAACAGTGATAAATGACACAGCATAAACAAGCACATATCAATTAGCAGTGCCAAAACCACCACAGGCATGTCTCCTACATTCAGACTGTCAGTCCAAATCTGATATCTGCATATCCGACTAGAATCCAATCAGATTTAGCGAGTGTGAAGGGCAAAGAAAAAGAAAAAAGAAAAATCACATGAAATGCGAAAATCTGTTTCAAGCTACATCCAAATGTGGTTTGAAATCCTATTCAAATCACATTTCTGGAAATCCTTTTCAGTCCGACTGCTCTGATCGGACTTTGCATGGTTTATGTGCTTTCTCATGCCACGTAAACCGTAAACGTCAGACGTTGCTAATAGGAAACATGCTGAAAGTCACTGCAGAAACCAGGTTGTGGTTGTTGCAAAAAAAAGAAAAAAAGACAATATAACGTAGACATGTTTCGAAACCGGCGGAGACGACAGCGTGGCATAAAGCCGCTCAGACCAGTCTCCTACGTTTCTGCCGCTGGCTCAGAAGATGTAGTCCAGCGCGATGCTACACATTGTCATGTTGTAAATAAGACATCATCTGTATTGCAAATTACTCCATGTAGTGGTTGTTGTTTTTGGCCTATGCCTACAAACACAATGTCATTGTCATAGAAACCAATGCAGATATTTCAGAAAACTAACGGATCTGAACAGTTGCGATACATAATGTGGATGTCAATAATTTTAGATCAGATTCCAATAGTATACACAAATAATCAGATTTGGACTGACAGTGTGAATTGAATGTCAGGGGTGCAAACCTCAGTTCCTGGAGGGCCACAGCCCTGCAGAAGCTGCGTCTCATCATTTCGAAGGCTGTGTCCTCCAGAGGTCGCATTTGTCAGTTGCATATGTCATTGAGGCTGCTTCATTTCTGTAAACTGACCACTACATTTCAAAGTCATTAAGAAATTACAACAATTTATGCTTCACTAGAAATAAAAGGTACATTTTTTCATAGTTACTATTCTGAAATATGACATCCTTTATGACGTATGCGGCCGACAAATGTGAGTTTAGCTTCAACCCTAATTAAACACACCTGATCCAGCTAATCAAGTCCTTCAGGCTTATTTGAATTCTCAGTCCTCATAAAAGAGTAGGCAAAAAGTACGCGGATGACCTACTACTTCCAGTGAGATTCTGAAGTGTCCATACGATGAACACTTTACTGTCCCATGAGGCCATGGGAGATTTTTTTTTTTAATGGCAGTCAGTAGTATATGCGGATAACATTCATACTACACACACTCATACTATACAGAACATACTCTTTTAGCGGTCGTAAAGTAGTAACTTATTCAAAATAAGTACCTACTCAAGAGAGTATGCGATTTCAGACACAGCCTAGGGCTGCATACAAAATTTCATACTTACCTACTATAAAGTAGACCAAAAACAGTATGTGAAGTAAAAAGTGACGGCCAAGTATGGCAACCCATTCCCGGGTTTTGTACTCTTTAACCTGTCAGAGTTAGTGCACACACATTGGGAGCAGTGAGTAGTGCACACACACATACACTGCAAACCGTGGACACACACCCGAAGCAGTGGTCAGCCATTCACTGCGGCGCCTGTGGAGCGATTGGGGGTTAGGTGCCTTGCTCAAGGGCACCTCAGTCATTTCCTGCCAGTATTGAGAATCGAACCCGCAACCATCAGGTTACAAGACTCTCTAACTATTAGGCCACAACTGCCCACAACTAGACATACTACTACTACTACAAGAGTAGTATATCCAAATTCATTGTACTTAAAGACCCACTCCGATGAAAATAATGTTTTTCTAGGTGTTAACATGTTCTTGTGGCATTTTTCTGATGTTAGAGGACATATCTTGAGAAAAATAAGCTCAAAGTTGTATTTCTGAGTATTTCTACATTCAAATGGCTGTGAATCAGTAGCAGACGCTAAAATGCCGGCTAAAATAGACTGGAGTTGTGACGTAATAACTCCACTGGGCGTCTCCACACGCGACGTCTTGGAGTGAAATAATGATCGGTGATAACTTTGATTAACTTCGGATAATAATAATTAACGTGTATATAATACTGTTGCCCCACTGGTATTGGGGGTGTAAGTTAGCGGGAGAGACAGAGCTCTCAGCAACGGGCAGGGGGAGGGTCGTCTCCGTGCTAACGGCTCCGCCCACAACGCAGAGGCGAATTGCTAATGAGCTACTGCCGCTCTGCTGAAGCGAAGTCCCAGAAAATGGCACAGGTTATGTGATTTTGGCTAAAAATGGCATAATCATAATTTAAAGACCACTGGGAATGTTTAAAAATAGCTCAAAATATGATCGGAGTGGGACTTTAAAAGAGTAGACAAAAAGTACCCAGATGACTTGCTACAGATTCGGAAGTGCGCATATTATGGACACTTTACTATCCCATAGGCCATGGGAGAGGATTTGTGAATGGCAGTGAAGTGATGCAACCAGAGATGTCTTATTATTGGGAGATAGGAGGGTCAAAGGCTCTACCGTTGCATAAAGCGTGACACCTAACTTGGATCACGTGTGCCTTGACAACATTGAATTTCGACGGTCAACCACAGTTTGCAGATACCATAGAAATAAATGAGAAGTGTGTAAACTGAATCAAAGCTGTCACACAATTGTCCGTGACTTCTCTAATAAAACAGGATTTTTTTGTGTGTAAACTCAAAATAAATCCATCTAAAAATTAGCAAACATGTTGAGGATTAGTCAATGGGCTGTCGATTCATTAAATGATAAGCTATTTGCTCACAAAAGCAGTTTATTCAGCGTTGGGAAGCCTCTCCTCCATTGACATCCATTCAAAAAGAAACAAATGGCCTCTTGTCTTCCCTGCGTACTGCAGCATTAGCAGCAGGCGTTACGCATTTTTCAGCTATAAGGTTGCAGGCTTGCCTTCAAGTGGCTTTGATGGAACTGACGCTGGTAGGTCTCATGATAATGGCAGCATGGCGAATGCAGTATGTCCAGATTACATTCATACAATATAGAAACACACTTTTTGTAGAGGTCAAGATTTCAGACACAGCCTACAGGTATGTGTGTTGGAGTAGGGTTGGAACTAAACTCTGCAAGCCTGTGGTCCTCTAGGAACTGAGTTTCGCACCCCTGCTGTAGGTAGTGTCTGTATTTAGACAGCTCACCATCATCATCTCTTTCTGACAACCCTTTTGCCGTCAATTGTAATTGAACGTATTCTTCTTTTTCCTGTTGTAAAAAAAAAGAAATGGGTCAATATGAAGTAGTCAAAAAAGTCCACTCTAGTGGACTTCTATGATATTCTATAGAAATAGTAAAGATATACTGCAAGAATCTTTTGGAACACACAACTGCCCCCTAATGGTAAAGGGAGAACTTCATGGAGGATCTCAATAGTTACAGTAACTACTCCACAAACATATTAAATATGTTGCCTGCTACAAACTGAGGGGTTTTAAAGCTTGCATCATACATTTGTGGTTCATACCTTGCTAAATGAGAAGTTCTGGTTGGTCCAGAACTCGTGGTTCCAGTCCTCGGTCTCCTGTCTCAGATGCCTCAACTCCCTTTCCAGTGGCGTCTCATTCTCAGGGATGTGATATATGATCGGCCTCAGGTTCGACAGTCTATCTGGTGGACCGATCCAGTCATATTTTGATGTTGCTGTTGGACTGAATCCAGGCCTCTACATTAAAAAAAAAACAATGGTCATCTAGGTTAGAACAAGGCAGCATGATAGAAAACTTCCAAAAACATATTAATCTAACCAGTCTAATTAATCTGCGTAAAACTAGGCAACATCAAACAACTAAATCCAGTTATAACTTACTTTTTTAACTTTCACTTTTTTATCAGGTAAAAAAAAAAACAGTTAATTGAAATAACTTAAATGTTACAAATGACATGTACAAAAATGTGCATTTTTGAAATATCAATAATTATGTACAATTTAAAAGTTTTTTAAAAACTAAAAGCAAAAGTATAGACAATTATATGCAATTCCAGATCAGTTCAAATTCAAAATTCTAATTTAATTGTATAACATTATATTAATCTAATATAATTTGTTGATACGTGCAACTAGAGCATTTAAATGTAAGATGTGCAGATGAACTGTTGCATTGCTGTTAATTTGACATAAGGTAGTAAACGACAAACCTCTGGTCGTTTGGCATGTTTTGGTGGTTGGCTTGTGCTTTGTCGATGACCTCGACAGGGACTCCTTAATGACACAGGAGCATGTGTGTAACACGGACGCAGAGACCTAAATATTACACAATTCAACGTTTTTACATTCATCTTTGATTAAATTAAAGAATCGACCTTGACAAATACAAATCATAATAAGTGCGATTTCTCCGTTGGCTTCCGTAACAGCACGCATCTATCAGTACATTTTTAACATGGTGGATGATTTTTAAATAAAAGTCCTTTACATTACTCATGCTTCAGCGCTTCGTACAAGAGAAGATATTATTTTCCGAGGTCAAATCACAACCGTAGCATATCACATTATGGAGAGAGTGCACTGTGTTTTATTTGAATTATATTTTCAACAAAAATAAAGTATTTTGGAAAGCTCTGGTGCACTCTACTTCCGCTAATTCTGATTTTATCAAACTGGACGACCAAAACATCCCATGAGTTCCGACACAACAACATATGGGCCTGGTATGAACATAAATCTGCATCACAAAGTTTTTGTGACAAAAAATTAATTAAATAATACTTAAATAAAATTCAGCAAGGACGCATTAAACTAATCAACAGTGACTTTCACAGTCACTTTATGCTGTTCTTTTTAACTTTTTCTATTCATCACAGAATCTTGAGAAAAGTGTATCACTGTTTCCACAAAAATATTAAGAGGCACATCTGTTTTCTATATTGATAATAAATAATAAAATACATTCAAATAGAAACCAATTCGTTTATATTGTAATAATATTTCACATTATTACTATTTTAGCCTCGGTGAGCATAAAACATTTCTTTAATAAGCATTTAAAAACTTTGAACGGTAGTGTGTATATAATAGTATTATATAATATTCCCCCCTAAAAACAATTTTAAATGCACGTTAAGCACTGCACATTTCTCCCATATCAGTCACACCCATTTCAGGTCTTGCGGTCTCTACTAATTAGCTGATGAGATGAAGCAAGATGAGGGAGACATACAAAATGTGCAGTGCCTGGGTTGCTTCATGCCAGGTTCACGCCACGCCAAAGATTCCAAACATTTATATTAGTTGTGAGAACGTTTAATGAATTTAAACTCCTCGTAACTCTCGCTTGGCCAGCTGGTTTGTGTCATTAGACATGTATGCCCGGTGGTTGTAAATGAAAAGTGCGTTGTTTAATCTGTAAACACAGGCGCACCAATGGCTGTCAGATGGTTATGCAGGTAGGATGGACAGCCCGTTGAACATCATGTTTAATAAGAAATGTATTCATATAACTGTCTTTTATTTTTTACACACCTCACCTCGCACTGCCGTGAGCTCTTAATGAGAGCTGATCAGTGTCTTTGTGTGCTTTAAATGGACGTAATAGCAGCCATCTGAACGGGCGGATTATTTCAAGTGGTTATGCCGTTTTAAATAGTTTTACGCAGCTACTACGTTTACAGCAGATTCCTTGACGTTATTGTGCATGAAAGATGAAACCACTTTGTGTTTTGGAAGGGAGTTCACATTTGACTTCCAGGCTTAAATGGTTTTATCAAAAATACAAAGGGGGTGAGTCCGTACATTCCGTGCTGTATCAATATGACATGCTTCAATTATTGGCAAGATGGTTTTATTTACTGATCGGGGTAAAGTGGTCAATTTGAAGATATCGCAGTATTAGGGATCCCTCCTGATGCGAGGAATGGTCTCCCCAGTATGGTGTTCGTGAGTGAACGAATCTGAGTTTTTGAACGAATCTTTTAAGTAAACGAATCATTCTCGTTACACAGCCGTACACTGCCACAGACGAAAGGCTCTTTGGGGACATATTTTTCTCCATTTCGAAGCGCGTTGCTGCTGCTCTCCTGCCTTGAGATAGTGGCTGCATCCCAAATCACATACCCTACTAGCCTATATAGAAGGTGATAAACGGTATGTTACAAAAGTAGAGTGCAAATTCACAGTATCTGGATGATTACTATTTCAGTGAGATTCTGAAGTGCACAATACGATGGTCACTTTACTATCCCATGAGGCCATGCAGGGGAGAGGATTTGTGAATCGGTGTGTTCGACTTGAAGCGGCGCTGCTCTGGCCGATCGGTCTATGACATCGAAGTACTTTGTCGTCATACACGCCAATCGAGATGGTCCTTACTGCAGAACACGAAATCCAGATCCAACTCCTCCCACCTTACATATACTTAAACCTACCCATCTCCGCCCCCTGATCCCTAACCCCACCCCTAATCCTACCCATCTCCACCCCCTGATCCCTAACCCCACCACTAATCCTACCCATCTCCACCCCCTGATCCCTAGCCCCACCACTAATCCTACCCATCTCCACCCCCTGATCCCTAACCCCACCCCTAATCCTACCCATCTCCACCCCCTGATCCCTAACCCCACCACTAATCCTACCCATCTCCACCCCCTGATCACTAACCCCACCACTAATCCTACCTATCTCCACCCCCTGATCCCTAACCCCACCACTAATCCTACCCATCTCCACCCCTTTGATCTGGATCCAACTCCGCCCCCTGGATCTCATGTACTGCAATGAGGTGCTATTGCACCAATCGGGAATCGGTTTGATAGACACTTTAATATCCCATGAGGCCACGGGAGGGGATTTATGCAACTGACGCTGGTAGGTCACATGATAATGACAACATGGCAGATGTAGTACATCCGGATTACATTCATACTATTTAGAACTTACTTTTTTTTTTTAATGGACATGAAGTAAGTTCAAGTTCAAATGTAGTACCTACTAATACAGTATGCGATTTCGGACGCACCGCTAGGCTACGTTTAACTCCACTGTGTGCAAATTAAGCACATCCTCTCAGGGGAATCCCTGATTAAATAATTTTGAAGTGCATTCAACTTCATCAAGTGGATGAGGAAAGTTTATTTGGACAGACCCATGACCCCTCGTTTTTTTTTTTTTTTACAGAGGTAGCGAGTCTTCTCAACATACACTTCAGGCTATTCATATTCACACTATATACATTCATAATTAATATTTATTTTTTTAACAGCCCAAGCATACATACAGGTCTATTGAATGGTGTGTAAAATATATTCATAAGGAAAAAACTGTAAATAATAAATCCGGATTCCACGTGATCAATGGCTTAAGGTTTTCCATTAAAACGCGTTTCAAGGGTTCTGCCAGGCATAAAAATGGACATATACTCAGCCCTAATGGCAGTGAAGCTACGCAACTGATGCTGCTACTCTATTCTTACTATTTGTCATATTTTGATGTAATAGAAATGTCTTCCATCTTCCACACTAAGGATGACAACTATAAAGTTATAATGATCGTTCTAATTCTATGAGAATAGGGAAATCCAGAGCATTATATCAATGACACAAGGGAATGATATTGTTCGGAATCACTTTCAGAACAATAAAAACATTGACAGCCAATAATAAAAAAAAAACGATATCCAACCATTATTATAACTTTGTTAGTGTGGATGGTAAAATAAGTATCATTATATAATTATCTTTCTAGCTATTGGGCCTTGACTATTCGATTTTTGCCTATATGCGTAGTATGCTAAGCCTTTGTTTTAGTCTGAATGAGATTTGGATCGACCTTGAGCAAGGTAAAATCTGAATAAACAAACGTTTGTTTACAAACTAAATTATGAACGTATAAAGAATGACTATTTACCTTACACAATTTAAAATTAACTTATTTAGGCTATTACCTAATGTTTAATAATAGGCTAACCTAATAATAGGCTAATGTTTTTTCTATAGCTTAATAAAAGTCATGCTGAGAAAGCAAGTTGAGAAAATGGAGGGGAAATTATACACCTGCTTTGTTGTAATTTGTGGGGGAAACACTATGATGGTTTCTTAATAGATTTGTAGACAAGCAAATTATTATTTAAAAAAAAAATATATAATTTAAGCCTAATTTCGGTCAAGATCGACTCAAAGTGAACGATTCAATGGCTCATAACACGCAAAATGACACTCATTTGTCGCCTCCTACCGGCATAACGATGTAACTGCGTAAAGCGTAACTGAATGAGTCTTTTAGTGAACTGATCCAAAAGAGTCACTGAGAGGAATCAAAATCCCCACCACCCGCGCTCATAGAGTGAGGGGAGGGGCAGGAATGCAGTCCATACCGATGTGATGGTGCTGCTCTAAATGCCAGTCTCTGCCAGTGTCACTGCAACTCCACGAAGCAGAAATTACTGGAGTGTTGCACCGCGCAAAACATTTCCGTAGCGTAGCTGATGGAAACGGAGCCCGTTAGACATGTGCGCGAACGTTTTCGGCGCGTTGAAAAGGTGAGAAATATGCTGCGCATCTCAGGAGGTGGTGAGACATGCTCGGATTGTGTCGGAAAGGGTTGGCTTGTGCTCAGAAGCAATAAATATGTCCTTCTGTGATGATTTGAGTCATGTAAATTCAGGCACCGCTTTGTCAGATTACAGGAAGGATCGTTTTGGTGAGGCATCTACAGGCTTGTTATATTCTCATTCTGCCTTATTGTATAGTTCATGGATGTAGCCACACATTCAGTACTGGGGGAACAAATGTAGTAGGCTAATTTAAGAATCAGCCATTGCGAAACCCATATTTGGGGGACGTTACGTCCCTGTTTAATCTATTAATCTTCAGCTATAAGACACTCTTCATGATGGCATATCATGATGATGAGAAGTGTATTGCATTCAGACTTCATGAACAGAAGATAGTTTTAGTTGATACTGCTGGTAAGATGATCGTCGCTGCCGTGGACAGTTCCAGAATCTCGACTCCCTCCCTGTAGTGTTGATGCTGAAGTTTGAAGACACCCTGCTATTAGTCTCAGTAACATAGCAGAAAACAAGACTGTCTTATAAATGCACTGTTTAAAAAACAACAACGTGTTGAAGTACTGGACTGGTACATTTTTGTCAGGACATTATTCGTTAAGTTTACAGACATTTCCTTTAACCCTAAAATGCAATAATTAATGTGCAAATTAAAAAATGCATAATTCAAAATACCGGTAAATCACCTGTGAAAAATCAATAGCTAAAATGTCTTCATATTAACACTGCATTGGTTGGGCCCTATTATTATGGTAGTTTCTTAGTTTAGTTTGTTTATTGTTTATGCTAATGTTTATTGCATAATTTTAGTGTTGTGTGTTACCCTGATGGTTGTCTTTTTTTCTTCTTCTTTTTTCTTTTTTAGGTGAAACAGCTGCCAGTACAGTAAAATTAACTGTATATTTTTACAGTGTACTTAAAGTGCCCATATTATGCTATTTTAAAGGTTCCTAATTTGTTTTGGAGATCTCCTGCAAATTGCAATAGGTTTACATGAATCCAAGGTAAAAAAAAAGGAAAAATCTTTTTTTTCATAATATACCTTGCACATCACATAATTTCTCAAAGAGTCTGAACGATTCTTTCGAAGATTCAGTCTCTAAATCCCTCCTTTCCTAGTTTACTCGGCTCTGATTGGTCAGACAGCCCAGTCTGCTGTGATTGGTCTACAGATTACATTGCGTATATGGCCATTACTATAGCTGAATTTCAGCTCCGGAGCTTCCTCAGCGCTTGAATACACAGTGATGCGAACAGTAACATTGGCATCTTTTTTTTTTTTTTTTTCTGTATCAATTCCAGTGCGAGTCCTGATCCTTTTGAAGTGCATGCAAAGTAGATTTGCTCTCGCAGTGCTGAAAATAGCATTGTCTTGATATGTCGACAACACAAACAAAACTCTTCCAGGCTTCAGCTACAACTACAGTGTTTGAGGGAAAGGGGGCAGCAAGTGAAGATCATAAGCTGGCATTATACAAATATTTGTTACATTGTTACTTAGATATGTAACAGGAAGTGAGACTGGAATTGCTGACGACAGCCTTTCCAATTTCTGCCGTTCAGAATCGTTTCTATCTTATATGAGACAATAACTTTATTTATCATGTAATTTGATCATTAAAACTTTGCAGACTTTTACATTCACAAACGGCTATGTTACACACTGCATTAAAGGTAATATTTGAAAAAGCATAATTGGGGTGCTTTAAAGAAACACTTCATGATTATGGTGATGAGACATTGCATTAAGCCTGCATTGAACAGAGAACCGCTTTAGTTTAGTCTAGTTTAGTCCTCCATCAATTTTAGAAGGGCCGAATTGTGAATAATCACAATTTCTTTAATATTATTTTATTTTTTATGCATAATGACATTGGCAAAAGAATATGTCCTATTTGTTCTGTATCAAGTCTGTATCTGTATTGTTGTTTAAACGAGACTTTAGGTGTTAAAAGGTTTGTTTTGGCGTCAATTAAGTGGTTCTTGAGCCGTAGTGATTGGGCTGTGGACAAAAGTTTAGGAAAGGCTTTTTGCCATGTGAATTTGAGCAATAGAAAATAATTAATTGACTATGATGTGGCAGAATTCCATGAGTAGTGAAAGAAGCAGTGATGTATTTAGCAGTACCCTACTACCCACTGATAAGCTCTGGCATGGATGGCATGTTGGCTCTTTCGCCCCACCCAAATTTCATAGTCCATAGTGTTTGTTATATTTACTTGAGAGAAGTTGCAACCCTATAATAAGAGGTCTTCTGGGGCTTAAATGATTGTATACCGGAGTATGAGAGAAGGGGGAGGCAGGATGCTGGGAAGCAGGTGGAGCATCTGGACAGATGAGGGTTCTGACTCATCCTTATCTGACCTGACCCTATCCTCCTCCTACACTCCCAGCATGATGTCAAATTAACGCTGTACTGCTGCACAATTGGGGAATCAAAAATTCAACAAGCTTGGTGAACAATTTATACGTTCTCTTGAACTTCGATATATCTTGGGAGTGTTCAAGGAGTATTTATTTTACATTTTTTAAAAATACAATGCAGAAATATCAAGCTGGTTGTGTTAGATTGTAGCAAATGATGCGTTTTGGACAGAGACTTAAGTGTAGGGCTTATTTTTTGCTTTTAGGCTAGGCATATACACTCACCTAAAGGATTATTAGGAACACCTACTAATACTTTGTTTGACCCCCTTTCGCCTTCAGAACTGCCTTAATTCTATGTGGCATTGATTCAACAAGGTGCTGAAAGCATTCTTTAGAAATGTTGGCCCATATTGATAGGATAGCATCTTGCAGTTGATGGAGATTTGTGGGATGCACATCCAGGGCACGAAGCTCCCGTTCCACCACATCCCAAAGATGCTCTATTGGGTTGAGATCTGGTGACTGTGGGGGCCATTTTAGTACAGTGAACTCATTGTCATGTTCAAGAAACCAATTTGAAATGATTCGAGCTTTGTGACATGGTGCATTATCCTGCTGGAAGTAGCCATCAGAGGATGGGTACAAGGTGGCCATAAAGGGATGGACATGGTCAGAAACAATGCTCAGGTAGGCCGTGGCATTTAAACGATGCCCAATTGGCATTAAGGGGCCTAAAGTGTGCCAAGAAAACATCCCCCACACCATTACACCACCACCACCACAAGTCTGCACAGTGGTAACAAGCCATGATGGATCCATGTTCTCATTCTGTTTACTCATCAGACCAGGCAACATTTTTCCAGTCTTCAACTGTCCAATTTTGGTGAGCTCTTGCAAATTGTAGCCTCTTTTTCCTATTTGTAGTGGAGATGAGTGGTACCCGGTGGGGTCTTCTGCTGTTGTAGTCCATCCGCCTCAAGGTTGTGCGTGTTGTGGCTTCACAAATGCTTTGCTGCATACCTCGGTTGTAACGAGTGGTTATTTCAGTCAAAGTTGCTCTTCTATCAGCTTGAATCAGTCGGCCCATTCTCCTCTGACCTCTAGCATCAACAAGGCATTTTCGCCCACAGGACTGCCGCATACTGGATGTTTTTCCCTTTTCACACCATCAGGGATGGAAATTAACTTTTTTGTCCACCGGCCACTGTGGCTGGTGGATTTCAAAATCTACCAGCCACTCAATGTTTTTACCAGCCACTTTCTTGTTTTTAACCGACAATGTGTAACTGCATGTGAAAATGAATACTACAAGAATACTTAAGCAGTTTATTTAATCTCAAGTCTCAATGAAATACTGACATTTTCTCTTTCTCTCACCCTCGGCCTCATCCACCTAATCTGTCATTTATTTTTGTTTTGATGATAATTTGAGCCAGCCTCCAAAAGTAATTAACCTGTCCTGTGATTTTTTTTTTCTCTCACACAACACTCTCCAGACACGGATTTATGAGCTATAGTATGTTGGTTGCCTTTACATTAGAATAATATTTAATATAATCTAGATATGAAATGGAATAAATAGCATTCAATACAAAATGAATATGTCTCATATATTGAAATCAAGTTTTATGTGATAAAATATTTGTTTTTTTTTGTGCATTAGAACCACATCAGGCATTTAGTACAAAATAATTTATTGAAGCATCCAGATACTTCACCACGTGACAGCAGCTAGGCTCCTGATTGGTTAACGCGGCGTGAATTGACGCCAAAGTTCAGATTTTTCAACTCGGGCGGCAGACGCGAATTCGCGTCAAACGCGTGAATGCACAAAAGCACTCAATAAAATCATGCGCGCAGAACGCGTCAGACGCTCGAACTTGCCGCGCGAATGAGGCGTATTCGCATCTACCACGGCGCGCTCTACACCTCATTCGCGCCGTAGGAATTTTTTACGCGCGTAACGCGTCTTTGCAAATGAAATCACTCGCGCCAGAGTCGCTCTATTCTCGTCTGGTGTGAACGCACCATGATGTTTTCTCTGCAGACCTCTACGCCTGCGATGTAACGCCACATTTTTGTTTGAAGGTGTGCCTCCTCTGAAAGTGTCCACCGTCCGGGTGAAACAGTATGCTATTTTTATTTACCCGCCACGGTGGCCGGTAGGTGAAGCGAGTTTACCCGCCACAACACAAAATCACCCGCATTTGGCTGGTGGCGGGTGCTAATTTCCATCCCTGCACACCATTCTTTGTAAACCCTAGAAATGGTTGTGTGTGAAAATCCCAGTAACTGAGCAGATTGTGAAATACTCAGACCGGCCCGTCTGGCACCAACAACCATGCCACGCTCAAAATTGCTTAAATCACCTTTCTTTCCCATTCTGACATTCAGTTTGGAGTTCAGGAGATTGTCTTGACCAGGACCACACCCCTAATTGCATTGAAGCAACTGCCATGTGATTGGTTGATTAGATAATTGCATTAATGAGAAATTGAACAGGTGTTCCTAATAATCCTTTAGGTGAGTGTATATTCATAGGCAACTTGTAAAGATGGCCACTCGCACTCACTGTAATACTTTTTCATTTGAGCTTTCTTCTTCGAAACAGTCTGTTCACCTGGTTATATAAAAGGACAAAGCACCCAAGGCATGCTTTTTTATTTTATTTTCTTTTTTTTGGAGGAAAAAGCTATCAAGAAGTAGTATAAGATCTCTGATCCTGAAGTATACAAGGACTGCATTCATTCTCACTACACCGTTGTAAAGTAATATTCCGGATTAAATGCAGTTTAAACTCTATCACCAGCATCTGTGGCATACTCTCAATCACCACAGAAAATCATTTTGATTCATACCTCAGTTGTAATGTGTGTGCAGCAGCCCACTTTTCTTTCTTTTTCCCCATTCTTTTTTTTATAGCTATATATATATATTTTTTTTTTGTATAGATCAATATCATATTTAAAATCCTTGTGCAATCTCATCCATGTTTATCAAATGTATTTCATGAACACTATACGGTCTGGGTGCTAATAGACACTGTCTCTTTAAGTCCTGTTATTATGACCTCTCCGTGACATCACAGACACTTCCCTAGGGAACAGCAGCCGCAGTCGTCTGCCAATAAAATCTTGTCTTGGACTTTGAATCTGTAGAGGTAAGACAATGGGCTGTGTGAAGGGCGTCTGCACTTAAGGACACTTCATTTCTCTAAACATCTTCTGCAGTTCGGTTTGTTGGTGCTGTTGGATTGGTACACTTGTATAACAGCTGCTAGACAGATTTTGCCATCTTTTTTTGTGGTAATGAGTAGGACCACAACTTCTTTAATAGTTATTCTCCCTATCGCACATGTAAATATTTGCTCTCCACATGTAAATGTTTGCTCTCCAGTATCAACATATTGTCACGACACCGGCAGGTAGGAAGTATGTTTTCCGAGACCTTTCCAGTACGTTGGGTTGTTGCAAACGGACTGTTGCTGTCAAAATCAGATGAATGGATTCATTGGCGAAATTCAGACTTGATTGAATTCAAGAATTCACACGGAGTGAATGCTCGAGTTTCAGTTTTTTTTTTCATTGGATGAACAGATTAAGCCAGGTACATGTTCTAAATTTTAGAAACTGAAATATTCCATTGCTATATCCTCGAAAGTTTGTTTTTAATTTCTACATGTTTGTTCACAAACGTTGTCCCTAAAAATGGAGCTTTGTTTTTGTGATGTGTCATGCATTTAGGCAGCTCCTGTTTCGTGTTGTGTCATGCCGTGTGCCTATTGGGACTGTTTGTTTATGATGGGTGTAGTTGGAAACATCTGGCTGAGTCAGCCTTAGTCATCACAGCTGTACAACACATACAACCTGTGCTCATTACAGACGCACAAAACCTCTCTCCTGCATTTTTCATAGTAAAAGTTTACCTGAGTTAGGATTGACCCTATTTGTTTTTCCCACAATCATACACGGTTCTGAATTTGGTAAAAGTGGCTCATATATTACTTTGATTTCTAATACAGACAGAAAAATGCCCTGCTTGTTGAAGTAATTTAGGGGGAAAAAATTGTTGTTTGCCTGATGTCATTTGGGGATATTTTTTATATTGATTTAATGCAATGGAATTCATACATTTCTAATTCTTTTTGAGGCTACTGTAAAAGGGTTGTTGAGGCACAATATGTCTGTGATTTTATTTGTGTAGTTATTTGTGTAAATTTGTATGTACAATACCGTTCAAAAGTTTGGGGTAATACGTTTTTTGTTTTTGTTTTTTCAAAGAAATGAATACTTCTGTTTAGCAAAGATACGGTCTTCATGGATCACAAAACAATTAAGCAGCACAACAGTCAAAATTGAGCAGCAAATCAACATGTTAAAATGATTTCTGAAGGATCATGTGACACTAGAGACAGCAGTAATGATATTTAAATTGTAGTAACATTTCATAATATTACTATTTTTCCTGTGTTATAATAAATAATAAATGAGACTTCTTTCAAAAACATGGCCCCAAAGGTTTGAACATTATGTATGTTTAGGAAAAGTGTGTATTTTAGGTGTTGTCACCATTTATTAAAAAAAAAAAAAAAAAACATTTCACAGTTTTAATCATGTTATTGCTTTCAATAGTTAATTTAAATGGTCATGCAGTGTAAAAAAAAAAAATTCACAATAGTTCACAGTCTGTTAATTATTATGAGCTCATAACACATGCATGCATCATGATGCATAATATAATAATTAGTAAAATACTATTTAAAGTATTTTTTGGATTTTACCTGTAAAGTATTTAATGTCAGCTACCTATAAAAATACTCTAACGTTTATTCCATTGTATCAACTGTATCATCCTCACTTCTCAACATCATACTTTGGTTATTTCCATATCTCACCATATCATTTGGTTATTTGACCAGATAAATTTGGTTTGACCAAATTGATCATTTGGTTATTTGGTTATCTCACCTATCTGTTTCTCTTTCAGCCTGTTTGGGAAACCCTTTGATGGTGGGAAGAGGACAATGGATCATGGCAGTCAGCAGCCACAGACTCAGCAGATGCCAGGACCCTTCCCAGGTTATTCCGGACCCCGGGGCCCGTACCCTGGGCAGCACCCAGCCCTGTTACGGCTGGATGAGTTGCAGAGGGAGGTCGCCAACCTGGGCCCACAGGTGTGCTCTTACAGTGGCCTGCAGAGCGACAGAGAGTACAAACGACTGGAGCGAGAGCTGACCCGATTACTGCTAGAGGTGGATAAGGTCAGGACAGGGCATCACTGCGTCAAAAGAATCTGAAAAGTAAAGTATATTAATGACTAACCATGTTTTGTTTACCCACCCAGGTGGAGACGGAGGGCCGGCCGGAGCTTCAGCAGGCCCGGAAGCGTGCGGCGGGAGAGTTCGAGGGTCTGCTTCGATACCTGGAGGGTAATGCTACGCATCCATCTCGACTGGCCATTGAGGAGCTGACCCAGGAGGCGCAGAACATGCTGAACGAAGGGGTTGTGGGGCCGTTCCGGCAGGGCCAGGCTCAAGATGCCTTTGAGATTAGTGAGGAGCTTGTGGAGGCTGTGCAGGACGTGGCCATGCGGCTGGCTCAGGTCAAGACGGGTGGGAGCGTACCGCTGAGGAAGGCCCGTTACAAGGCGCTGACAAGGGTCTGTGCCGTACAGGAAATACTGGAGGGTCGCATACGCACTCATACGCTGGCGCTGCCGCTGTCCGACGACACGCACGAGGCCGTGCAGCGCATTAATCAAGTTATGGCGCAGGTGAGTGGTATTGCAAAAGACAAATATCATGAGGAATCACAAACCTGCGTATTAATTAGCAAACTGCTGATATTCTTTTTACACATGAAGGGATGTTTCTTAAAGATACAGCTGGAAAAAAACTTTTTTAATTTTAAGGGTTAGAGAGAGGGTAGAAAAGGTCATGAAAATACCTAATTCTGTTTTTGACCTCAAGTAGAAAGTAAAATGTACACTACAGCTCATAAGTTTACAGTCGGTAAGATTTATTTTTTATTTTTTTCAGCTAGGACACTAAATTGGTCAAAAAAATCTCTACATGTTTTACATTTATTTCTATTTTTTGACACTACTGTTCAACAGTTTAGGGTCAGAATTATTATTTTTTAAATCATACTTTTTTTCAGTAAAATAAAAGATATATTAAATATACACTACAGTTCACAAGTTCGGGGTTAGTAAAAAAAAATCAGGAAGGACATTAAATTGATTAAAAAAAATCTTTTAAAAAAGATTCTTTAAAAAAATTATAATAATAAGAAATATTTCTTGAGCAGCAAATCATCATTTTATAATGATTTCTGAAGGATCATGTGACACTGAAAACAGGAATAAATGACATTTTAAAATATATTCAAATAGCCTAGAAAAGTTATTTTAAATTGTAATTATATTTCACAATATTACTTTTGTTGCTATTTAAACTGTTGAACAGTAGTATATGATCTCTTTAATAATTTTTAAAAGATTGATTTTAGCCAAGAGACAATGTTAAGTAAAGGGAACCTGAAATGAATTGATCTCATGTAGGTGAGTGGTGCCCGCTGCCAGGAAGTGGCTCTGCTGATGGGTCTGAGTGGGCGTGATAGCTGTACCCACCTAGCAAGGATCCTCACAGAGCTGTTGGTAGAACTGGACGCCCTGGATGTGTCTAGTAACGCTGCTGTGAGGAACTACAGAAAACAAGTGGTGGAGGAGATCAATGGTCTGCTAAAACATCTTGACCTGGAGGGAGAAGGATACGACACGCGCAGGTAACACCAAATGGACACATCAACACAAACTACAATAGCTTGTGTCTCATTTTGAAGGCTGCGCCCTCCGTAGGTCGCGTTTGTTGGCCGCATTTATATCATCAAGGATGTTTCATTTCAGAAAAGTAGTCATTATAAAACTGACTTTTTCTGAGGCATAAATAATTGTAAATTCTAATGGTTACTTCTCTAAAATAAGGCAGCCTTAATGATGTATGCAACCAACAAATGAGACCTCTGGAGGTCATATCCATTGAAATTAGACACAACAAATGTGTAGCACCAGTGAAATGCCATTTTATGTTTACTTATGCAACCATTCAGTGAAGATGAAATTGTAATGGGATAGTTCACTCCAAAAATCATTAACAACTCTACCTTGCATCATTCCAAAATATGTACATGCACTGCAGGCTGAATTTATTTGATCACAAATACAGTAAAAACAGTCATATTGTGAAATACTATTACAATTTCAATTGACAGTTTTCCATTTTAAAGGGGGGGTGAAACACTCAGTTTCACTCAATCTCATGTTAATCTTGAGTACCTATAGAGTAGTATTGCATCCTTCATATCTCCAAAAAGTCTTTAGTTTTATTATATTTATAAAAGAAAGATAGGCTGTACCGAGCCTTTCCGGAAAAACCCGAGCGGGTGGAGGCGTGCCGTGTGGGCGGAGCTAAATAATCACGACACGAGCGCGCGAAGCTTTTGCGTTGAGAGCGTCTGGAAGCTGTGAGTGACATCCGAAAATAAACCATGGCTAACAATCAGATAGTAATCCCACGCAGAACAAGGATCTAAACAATACTAAGTGCTCGTTCATACGAGATGGGCAGTGAAATGGGTGAAAAACATAACTCGAGCGTTTTTTTAAAAATAGAAATGATTTGAACTTGAGCGCAGTGTTTTTAGAACACCCTGTCATGCGCGAGTTTTACAACATTTGTGTGTTGTAAACAGACAGACTCATGGTTTATGAGGACATGATTTATTTTTACAATAAACAAGCTGTCACCTACAGTGGCCAGCTAAACAAATGTATTTAAACACACACACACACACACACACCATACATCGCATGCTCCATTGATACATTAACTGTATGTGATCATGTTGTTTACTTGCTGTGCTTACACGCCGATAGTTAACAACTCACAGACATTTGAAGCAGTTTTACTCACCGCCTGCGGTTCCAACGCATGACCGTGAACCTTTATCGTTGGGACTGCTCCATCTTTAAAGGAGCTGTATGTAAGAAATTTATTTCAATTAATCATAAAATGGCCCTGAAATATCACTAGACATTACGAAATCATGTACATTTCAAATACTTATATCACTGACAACAGTAGTCTGGCCAGGATATTGTCATTTAAAAAGTGCAGTTGCAGCCCTCAACTGATGTTGATGTTGTCATGTTGTGTTTTGGTCTGATGCTCCACCCTCCACCTGTCTACCAATCACGAAGTCAGTAGTGTTGCGGCATCTGGGTTGCCAGCTCTGCTCTAGTTACCACAGCTGCAGCTCGTCACGTTCCTGCTGGATCCTGCGGCTGATCTGGCAACCTCGAGTCAGGGGGAGGGGGAGGGGATACACCACTCTACAGTAATTTGACAGTGATTGCAGTACTAGTTTTGGCCACAATCTTACATACAGCTCCTTTAAGTATTAGGCGATCTGCAAATCCGGCGTTGAACTGGGCCTTGTTTATAAAACTATTAAAGTCGAAATGAAGGGAACAAACAAAAACACTTGCACAACTCCGTTGCTGCTCTGGAAAAACAAAATCCATCCACAGGTCCCTTAACGCTGGGTTCTTTGGAAATTTGTGCAGTGTTGTCTTGCCCTGGCAACCAAAAACACACTTTATGGTGCCATTTTTTTAATTGCAGCGCAGCCGAGCCCAGCGCTCTGATGGGCATAGGCGTACTCTCGCACGCACTAGGCTACAGAGGCGCGCGCCCTTCCGGGAGAAGTGCCCTTAAGACCCGTATAAGGAAATTCCGGCCACTCTGACGTCACACACACCCGTATTCGGAAAAAAACTTTCCGAAACTTGTGACAAACCGGAAGGAGTATTTTTGGAACAGAATTACTTCATCAAACTTACAACTTCATTTTTGAAACTTTGTCCATGTTTAGCATGGGAATCCAACTCTTTAACAGTGTAAAAAACTCACTATGCATGAAACAGCATTTCACCCCCCCTTTAATATATTTTGATATGTGATGGCAAAGCTTAATTTTCAGCATCATTACTCCAGTCTTCAGTGTCACATGATCCTTCAGAAATCATTCTAAGATGCTAAAGAAAAAATGATCATTTGTGGAAACTGATGCATTTTTTTCATGATTCTTTGATGAATAGTTCAAATGAACAGCATTCATTTGAAATAGATTTTTTGTCATTGTCATAAGTATCTTTACTATCTCTTTTAATCGATTTGTTGAATCTTAGCTAATTTAAAGTATTATATTGAGTTATATAATATTGTCGTATACAAGTTATTTTTATATATATTAAATATATAAGGGTATATAAAACCTAACCCTCATGTCAAAATATAACTGCATACAGATTTAGAATGACAAGTAATTAATGACAGAAATTTAATTTGTATGTGATTAGAGTTATTTTTAACGGATTATTAGTTACTTTTTTGAATCTATTAATAATCTTTAACCCGTTGCATCTCCAGGTATGATCTAGCGCAGAATGACTCTATTCGTGAAATTGAGGCGATTAGGGGCCGTGTCTCAGTGCTGCGGGAGGAGGTGCTCCGTCATGGTGCCACAGGACAGGGGGCGGAGCTGCAAGGTCTCCTCACGCACCTGGATCAGGTGGACACGGGCCGAAATCCCTGCATTCGGGAGGCACGGCGCAGGGCTGTGCTGGAAGTTCAAGCACTCGTCACCTTCCTAGACCTCTGGGAAGCCCTGGGACGTCGTAACCCTGGAGCAGAGGAGCCTCCTCCTCATGCGGCCGTGTGGCGTGTCTTAGCCAGCCTGGGCCAACTCCAGGCTCAGGTGTTGGGCTTTGACGGCAAGAGGGCTGACAAGAGCTACATGGTATTGGAAGAGCTACTGACCAAACAACTTCTGGCTCTTGATGCTGTGGACCCTCAAGGGGACGAGGGGACCAAAACTGCCCGTAAGCAAGCTGTTAAACATGCCCAGAATATCCTTAGTTACTTGGATATGAAGACAGATGAGTGGGAGTACTGAGAGGCCGATAAAAGAGACTGCAGTATTGCCGAGATTTCCCTGAATAAGGAGCCGCGAGAAAAAGGCAAAAGCTTTTTTGCCTCGTGTGCGACATCAGGACAAGACACGCCCGTGCCGAGGATACAGGCCATGGGCGGAATTTTTAATTTGTATATAAAATACTTTGTGTTTCGCCGTGGGCAGCGAGACTGTTACCCATGATGCACTGCACCTGCTGCTTTTGTTGGTCCATTACTGGTCCCTGAAAACAGCCTTTTTTCTGGCAGAAGGAAACTCGATTTCTACTGCCATGAAGCATTTTTTTTTTTTCATGACAATAATCCATGATCTTTTTAGTTGAATCTGTGCTGTTGATTGGTGTGGTGTGGTGCTAAACCCTGTTCTGCTGCCAAAATCTGCTTCCCGCTTTACCACATGCCTGTGTGGAACAAATTTCAGTCTTTATCACGGTGTGAACACATCAGCTCTTCATTCCTATCCAGTTAGAGCCGTACAGGAGCACATGATCCCCTGCTACGACCACACCAGGTTGTGCAGTGGGCCATTTCCTGTAAATCACACATACCGTAATGTAAAGGCAGTCCAAGCTTAGCATTCATAGGTTTGATCTCTTCTCTAAATTGCACTTTCAGAGCCTAAGCTCCTCTCGCTACAATTATTAGCTGCATATATAAACAAGAGCTGACTCTATATGTGGGAACAATTGTTTTTACATTTTGTTGCATCTTTTACATGCATATATCCCACTGAGAAAATTGTATCTTAAAATAGATGGTAAACAGTGGTTTGTGTTTAGTTTAAAGATTGAAGTGTGTAATTTTATTTTAACATAAAATTACACACTTCACCTTTAAAGAAGACTTTTTGACATCAAAGAAGAATGTGAGAGAAACGGCAAAAAAAGAAAAAGATGTCTAACCCTTCCTGCAGTTTTGCCATATTTCAGTAGTCGGAGGCCAAAATTGCAACGAGGTATTGTCCTTGGAGACGTTTCTTTTTAGTATTGATATGGAGGATAAAAATAGAAACTAGTTCACAAGTTTCTTGTCTTCTTCATTGCTTTTTTAAATTTTTTATTTTTTTTGCTTTTAGGCAACAAGTGCCTGTGCAAGCCACCAGGGAATAGAGCGGAGACTGAAAGAGTGTGTCTGTGATTGTTTAAAAAAAATAAAAAGTGGTGCATGCTATTTTGGTAGTGAGACTGATCAAAGTGGACAGGGGCGTTCTAGGACATTTTCATTGGAGCGGCATGGAAAGACAGCAAGCTATCAAACAAGCACTGAAATACTGTGGCTACATTTACACAGTTACATATTTACACTGGCGAATTACTTAATAGTATATTTCCCTACACTCTCAAACTACTTCAGTATTTGTATACACAATATGCATATTTTGCAGTAAACTTAACTTTAACTAAATAATATGAATTATTTATTCAAAATAAAAATTTACAATTATTTTACCATTCACAATGCTTCATGCTCCTTAAAGCTGTTAAGTAAACAGTCTTGTACGTCTTTTTGTCCGATTTTAAAAATTATTTTTTGCTTCTTAAAAAAAGCCTCTTTTTTTTTTTTAAATCTTCATTGGAAAAATAATTGGGAAAGAAATACTTCCGGAACCAAGGCCGCTGAAAATGTGGACGGGCACTGTTGCAGTCAATTGAGACGACACTGAAATTAAACAAGCATTTGTTTACACATTATTTATTTGATTCAATTCTAAAATATTTGAAAACGGAAATTATGTGTTGACATTGACAAGGCTGTTTGTAGACTCGTGGAAGTAACATAAGGGATGGCAAGAAGGGCGTAATCAGTACACATACAGTACATCGACCCATCACTAGTATTGACAGAAAGTGACTAAGTTAAATGTTCGAATTTCATTTAATAACAAAAATATAGCATATAATATTCTATTATGGAAGTTGTGGTTGTTGAAGAACAGGGTCAGCATGCACACCGTAGTGGTGTTTTGAAACAAATCGGTTTAGTGAGCAACTGAATGACTCATTCCTAAAGATCATGTTCATTCTTGAAAAGTCACTTTTTAATTTTTGAATGAATTTGTGTTTTTGAATTAATCGTTTGAGCAATGTTTGATATGGACCACATTTAAAAGGTCAAACAACTTTACACAAAAAAAACATGAAAAATTAATTGGGCACTTTAGCTTGTAGTGTGAAGCAGTCTGTTTAAATCCCTCTGAGTCTGTTGAATGTAGGAGTAGCTTGTCTGTGGTAAAAACCGCAGAAGTATTCAGTTTTGCTGTTTAAAATCTGACCACAGAGGCCAGGTTATGGCCATAAACAAATACAAATATATGTCATCTGTATCATGCTGGGCACTTGAGCCTCTCTCTGCTCATTTAAGCTGTCTGTGCTGTAAGCAGGTTACAATGGCTTGTTTTGACCTTGAACTGTGACCATCCTTTGGTGTTTATTTCGGTCGTGTCCCACTTGCCGTGTGGTCACTACCCTCTGTCCTGCTCCACATAAGGGAATGTCCAATTAAAAGGACCATCAGCAGTCATGAAGCAACACCAGAGTTATCAACAAAGATATCAGGTTGTGCTTGGATTAAACCCAGACACTCTTATTTAAGGGCATTCTTCTTGAAAAAAATGACAATAAAGACGCAGGGGCCGCTGGAAAGGATAGGTCGTGGTCAGAAGAGATTAATCCAGACTCTGTCATCAGACAGCCGTTGTCTGGCAGAGTCCCCTGTGGTGGGCAGCACTGGCAGATCAGCTGAGGAGGATCCTATATCTGTCAAGGTGAAATGCACGCTCCAACAGCACTTTAAAGCAACCTTGCACTAGGCGTTGGCGTTTTGTGCACCTCTTCTAAACCCACATAGAGATGGCAAAGATGTGAGCTAATATTGGCAATGTCAGTTCTGCGCAACCAGACTTTTTTGTTTGTTTGTTGTTTTACCAGCACAACATGCATTGGCCACATACACACTGCAGATCAATATGGTTGACGCTCCTCATTAAATCCATGTGGTATAACTAGTTGTTAATGCAGTAGTGTTGCTTAATATACAGGCAGATTGTCTGAAGTGCAGTGCTAGAAAATCACATTTATGCAAATCTTGATACCTGTCTGTCTACCGTAGTTACATCAGAGGTTCTCTGCCTTGAGATCGCCAGAGGTTTCTATAACCTTTTAGCTGTAAGGGGCTTTTCATCCTTGTTTTCAAAAGAGTTCGATGGAGAACAAGATGGGACATAAGGCAAGGGTCTGGAGATTTATTTATTTTAAAGCTGAACTACTGAAGTCTAGCGAGGGATCTTTTCTTGCGTTGTGACGCACATCCGACTGAAACGGATCGTTTCGAAAAAGAAAAAAAATTGGATTTGGTTCTATCCATTATTATTTGGTTGTTATTTGGATGGAGGCATATCTGAATGCGAGCTTGCAGTTGATTTTAAGAAAGGGATGAAATGTGTTCACGTCATAATTTCGGGATGACAACATATGACTTTATATTTTGAACCGTTTACTTCCTCGGACTGGGAATTATGCATTTCTATGGCAATACTATTGTCAACACCTAAATTAATCTGTCCGTAATTTCGGGATGACAACATGTGACCTATCTATTCTGAGCTGTTCACTTCTTCAGACTGGGAATCATGCGTTTCTATGGCAATCTGAATCTGCAGCAGTCACTTGGTACAAGTAGGAGCTCTCAGAAAAATCCCCAGTTTACAAATTATTAACGGCTCTACGAGGACGGAAGTTGAAATCACCTAATTACAGTAATTGCGACATGGCGTGAATGTGTAAGAAAAGTCCGTTAAAAAAAAATCCTCTTTTTTTCATAGGTAGCCTATTATACCCGTATTTTGACCCGTCTTGTGTTTTAGGGTTAAAAGAAATCAATTTAACTGACAATAATCTGACAGGAAATTACCAGTACTGTTTCTGTTTTCCACTAAAGTATATAGTGCCCACATCTGGAGCTTTAGGTCCGTTCATAGAGTTTAAATCATCTAATTAATTGCGACATGGCGTGAATGTGTAAGAAAAGTCCATAAAAAAAATCCTCTTTTTTTCATAGGTATTATACCCGTCTTGTGTTTTAGGGTTAAAAGAAATCAATTTAACTGACAATAATCTGACAGGAAATTACCAGTACTGTTTCTGTTTTCCACTAAAGTACATAGTGCCCACATCTGGAGCTTTAGATCCGTTCATAGACTTTGATGGGGAATTTGAGGGGTATCAATCCAAGTTCTCTAGCTTAAAATGTTGTTGGGATTTTCTTGACATGCATTGTAAATCTAATCTACATGATTGTGGTCTGCGTTCCACATTCCATTAGCTGCCAGAGCTTCACCTCTACACAGACGATTGGTCTGTCAAATCTGAGTCATACTGATTTCTGCTAAACTATCTCCATGGTTATGGTCACAAATCAAATCCATTCCGATTGTCGAATGCCACTCAACAGCAGTTTATGGCAGTCATCTAGAACTATTACAGTTCTTTTGTATGTGGTGAATTAGATTACCTTGATTGTATTACAGGATGAGCTTTAAAATAGATATTTGACATGAAGAGCGAGTTCATTTGTTACAGGGCTCTATTCCTGCTTTAATGTAATGAGCGAGCCTTGCACTGACCTGTCTTTGAATATTTACTTTACAGCTGTTAGTCTTTATTAGTAGTGACATGGCTGATGTAAGATGACAGGCGTCAAAATTGCTGTTAGGTGTAAACCAATATGCAGTGTGATTTGCTACGTCTTTTTGGATGCCATACTCAAGGTCATCACACAAGCTTTGAACAACACCCATTACATTGACAACCTATTACAGTATCTGGAAAAAAAAGAGAATGTAATGAAGAATGTCCATCTTTCTTTATACCAAAGTTGATTCTTTCCTGTTTTTAACTTCCATTATCTTTATAATCACTGAAACTATACAAACCAGAAAAGGTAAAACTTGTCATTCTCGCTTTTGGTTTTCCTTATCTGACTATATGTCTGGAAGAATGTGTTTTCGTGGTGAACTGTGAGATTGTTTAAATGTGTCATGCTATTTATCTAATGTTCGACGCATTGTGTATATTGTCTGGTTTATGCTTGTTTAAAAAAAAGCACATCAAGTTCAAACTGCTGTGTGAATGCTTTTGTCAGCGGGGTTGTTTGGTTTTTACATGTCTACAATGCTAAATAAAAGATGGCGGTGATCTGGAAATAACCTATGTTTGTGGCAAGGTATTAATTATGGCCTGGGATCTTTCAAACTGTTTCCATGGCAACCCCTCCCTGTGCTTACAAAATAGGTGTTCAGAAAAAGAATCGGGTTTTCCTGAAACACAGAGCATAGAAAATATCCCTGCACATTTAGTTGGCTAAATAAATCTGCCTAAACTGATATAGTTATTAACATCCCTGCTCATGTGTAAGGTGACATGAATCAACAAACTGTCAAAAGACTTCAGCAGCTGGAAAGTGCTTTATGCAAATCTGAGACAAGATATATTGAGCAATATAATTCAGATATAAGCAGAGATGTGATGCTTATTTTAAAATGTATTACAAAATAAATTAGCAATAATTGGTAACCTAATATAAATATTGCAGCATGACGTTAATGCAATAGCACTACTGACACTAATGCAAATAAAGAGAAAACCCATACAAATTATATAAAAAAAAAGTGCGTTTGTATGAAATGTAGCTCAGACGCGTAAAATATCTCACTCTCTCTGTATATACTGTATGTACACATATACAAAGCATGAATTTGATGTAAACAATAGGTCTACATATTCACATATGCAGTTCATAGAGGACATAATGTATTATGCAGTTACAGCGTGAAATAATGATTACATTTTACATTTTTTCGCGCAATTGCGAGTTTATATCTCCCAATGTGGACTTTATAACTTGCAAATGCGAGTTTATATAAAAATCTAAAGAGAGTTTTGAGATATAAATAATGTCTTTTATTCCGTGGCTTACATAGACTGCTTCTGCCACCAGTTTGGCTCCGCCCACTAAAAAAAGGTCA